ATTGAAAACTGAAACTCTTCCTCCAATTCAATGTTTGAAAACAGAAAAGTCTACAAGTCAGTCTTATAATGATGCTTGCTGATATTAGAGCAAGATATACTGTAAAATAGTAAGATAGGAATCATACGAATAAAAAAGGATTTATTCCCTTAGTTTGTCTAATACTAGTTTGTATAAATCAAATGCAGTCAAAATGTAGCATATTGCATGTTAATGTATTGCACCCTGTTATAGATATTTGGAGTTATCGACCCATAACCTAAGGAAGAATTTCATCAGTGAGGCAACAGTCTAATTATGACTTTTGGACCAGTTACGACAGAACAAATCACAAGCAAAGTAATAGTCGATTAAACAAGTTATATCATCTGAGAGATGCAGAGCAAATGTACGCTAAACAGCATACAAAGGTTCATTTACCTAAGATTCCAACACAAGTAAAAAGTAATGCATTTTAGTTTGTAATAAAGATAAACCATGACATGGTAGAGCTTAGTGGGCAAGAACATTGTCAACGCAGTTCCCAAGCTTAAGCTAAAAGGCCAACATTATATAACAGCGCAAACAGACAATCTGATTAATATATTACTCTGGCCAAAAAGATTCTTGAATAAATGATGTGTGTTACAACCATACATCATGTTTGGGAGATTTGCATCACACAATGTGATGTGCTCCTCTGGAATGAAAAAGACAAACGTGTTTCTTGTCATTGTCTGCTTCCCATACCATTGTTAAATCCTGCAGCGAAAGATATGAAGAGAAAAAGTTCACGACAACAAGCCAAGAGAACAAGAATAAAACTCAAACTTAGAAATAACAGTTTTACCCATATCCTAAACGAAGAAACGAGAATTGAGCGAGAATATCTCATCAACGTTTGCCAAAACCAACTCCTGCTTTCCTTTTCTGTCGTGCTTGTACTTTTTCAGGGCTTGGCAATCCAGTTTTTTCTTCGTACTTCTTTTCCAAGGCCTGCGGAACAAAACTTGTCAGGACTACTTATGCAAAGATGAACACCAGAGTTACTAAAGGCACACTTATCATAGCTTTAGACTCTGTCCTGCTACAGTTTTACTCACCTCTAGCTCTTCACGAATGGTGTCAAGAACGTCATCCGTCATTCTGTCGAAGAAGAGAACTCCCTGTCATTGACAGATCCTTCAATCAGACCCAAACAAAAGCTTGCAAATGATACTCACACACAGAAACACTAAGCTCCTCCATGAAAACATGTAAGACTGCATGCCCAGTAACACACTAACACACAACGTACTAAAAAGGATAGGGTCTCATGAGTGAATGTGTAAAACTCAAAATATATCAGCTTTATCACTGGTTTCTTCCAGTTGTATGTACATAAACACAACTATAGCCATTAAACTGTCAACAAATATAATTCTTTCGCTTTCTGTTTGATGTTCAATCAAGCAAAGATATCAAAATGAAAGTGGAGAAAGAACATCAAGGTGATCGTATTCATGCTGAAAGATTCGTGCAGGTAAACGTGATAGACTGATTGAAAATCTTGCACCAGTTATGTCCCTTGCGTCAATCTTAACAGATTGCGGTCTCTAAAAAGCAAAAAAAAAATCAATAACATGAAAATCGATATCCAAGAAAATGATGCAGAATATGGTAAATAGGAGTCGGGAATGATTGAACATACAATAACATCAGCATAGATCCCAGGGAAGGACAGGCAACCTTCGTTAAACGGTACTAACTTATCAGAATATTTATTGATTTTCGGATTCACAAGAACAATCTCTTCTCCTTCACCAGACTCCCCAGCTGGATTAAACACCATGAGTTGAACATTTAGCCCCACTTGTGGTGCTGATAGCCCGACGCCATCCGTTCTATTCAACAGCAATCAATCACAGTATCATTCTCAGTCTATTTTCATACACAAATATTCAAATACATTTACAATCAAAACAGATATTAACAAACACTTTACTCTACAATTACTAATCGTATAAAACCTTACTTGTACATAACATCGAACATAGCATCCACCAAGTTTTTCAAATTCTCGTCAAATACACCAATCCTCTTGTTCTTAGCTCGTAAGATAGGATCCGGATACTCAACGATCTTCAACGGCGTCTCGAATTGGAGATCAGAAGCTAAAACACATCATCACAAACAAGTTACACTCAATCATAATCACAACTAACATCATCACAATGTGTAAAATAAGTTACCGGAAGCTATTTCAGATTCCTTGCGCGAGACGCGCTTTACTTCAGCTCGAACCGGAGATGTCAACGCTCCGGTTCGTTTCGCGGCGGAAGAGGAGAACATGACGGTGGATTTGAGCCGACCGTAGCCAGCGAAGAGATTCGTAGCGCGGCGGGAGAGAACCGGTGATAAGAAGCGAGAGAGAGGTGGAGCTTGGAGGAAGCAGTTACACACGGCCATGGCTCAAGAGTATTTTTCGGTTATGTGGATTTTGTGTGGAGAGTAAAGTAAGGAGTAAGGATTGAGTAGATATATCTGTAATACCGTTATTTTCTAGGGACTAGTATGCAATTAAAGGATTATAAGGTAATTTTACTGGGGTGATAATTAAATATAACAATAGATATTGTACCACATTGTGTAAATAAAATATTTCTATAATTAGATTAGAGCTGGAGAGACATTTTCTCTTCGAAACTCGCGGCTTGCTCTACAGTAATCCTTTCTTCGAAAGGTAAACTATCTTCTTCTTCCTCGTCGATTCATTTTCTCTGTGTATCATCGTTTCTCATCATCTCTGGTATATTCATTTTTGTTTCGGTATTGATCTCCATCCCTTAACAGATTGATCCATATATTTTGATTTATTATTTGAGTATACAAGTTTTAATCGTGATTATTTTTCGAATTTGATTCGTATCTGATATTAGCAAGTTAAGATCTACTGTTGTTTCAATTTATAAGAACGGAGTAGTTTGTGTTGAGATTGTTTGGACCTTGTGATTGTATTGCTGCAGATTGATTTAAGCAATTTAATTAATCTTTTTGTTTATTTTGTTGAGATTTTTTTGGACTTTGTGATTGTGTTGCTGCAGTTTGATTTAATCAATTCAATTAATCTTTTTGTTTATGGTTTTGTGGTTTGGTGTTGTAGGGATAGCTAAAGGAAGATGGGGGGTAACTTTGCGAAGCTGTTCAGCAGGCTGTTTGCCAAGAAGGAAATGAGGATTCTGATGGTAGGTCTTGATGCTGCTGGTAAGACCACTATCCTATACAAGCTCAAGCTTGGAGAAATTGTCACCACCATCCCTACCATTGGTTAGTTTTTTTTTATGATTCATGAGTCTTTTTCAATGTGTAGCTAGTAAATGTTCTCTTGGGTGCCTTATACTTGTCTGTGTAGTTGTTGATGCTGAAGAGGTTATTTGTTTTCAGGATTCAATGTGGAGACTGTTGAGTACAAGAACATCAGTTTCACTGTTTGGGATGTGGGAGGTCAGGACAAGGTACACTTTCTTACTCCTGTTTGAAATCATCATACTGTATTATTTCTTCTCTACATGAGGTTTCTCAAGCTGCTCAACCTGTCAATGATATCCTCAGCATGACTAGTAGTCTAGTACTGATGTTTCGTTTTAATCCAGTTATATTTATCATGTAAACTCAATTTTAAAATTATGTATTTGCATTAGCGTGGTTATTTTATCTCCGTGTCTAGTGTTTACGTGCGTGTTTGTCTTTTTCTTTTTTTTTCTGTTTTTTTACATTAAGAATTCGCCTATTTTGAAATAAAAACAGATCCGTCCCCTGTGGAGGCATTACTTCCAGAACACTCAAGGTCTTATATTCGTGGTTGATAGCAACGACAGGGACCGAGTTGTGGAGGCAAGGGATGAGTTACATCGCATGTTGAACGAGGTCAGCTTTTCTTTCTGGTTTAGTATTGTATCAATGTAACACCTTTCCGTAGTCTTGATTTAATTAAACCCTGTTTGCAGGATGAACTGAGGGATGCTGTCCTTCTTGTGTTTGCAAACAAACAAGATCTTCCCAACGCAATGAATGCTGCAGAAATAACCGACAAGCTTGGCCTTCACTCTCTTCGCCAGCGCCATTGGTAAAGCTCTCAATTTATCCTTCTTGTGGTTAGATCGATTTCACTTTGGTGGAATGTAACTTTTATGCATTTTCGGTCAACAGGTACATTCAAAGCACATGTGCCACATCTGGGGAAGGTCTTTATGAAGGCCTTGATTGGCTCTCCAACAACATTGCTAGCAAGGTAACTAACAAAATAAACCATTCCTTTAAACCACATAGGAATCTCTTTTGCAAGTAGCCAAGTATTGATGCAAGTAAATAGGAACTTTAGGGATTCAGATCGCATACTCTTCTCCATATGCAAACTCTGGCGTAAATAGTATATTATTCACGTGTTGCTCAAGCATGATGATTCATGAGTATTGATCAGACCTTCATTTTGATTTGAGTAGGCATGATGAAGCTGTTGGAACACGTTTTTTGCATCTTGAAAGAGACCATTAGTGATTGTGGAGAAAGAGAATGAAGAAGAAAAAAAAGTATTTTGTCTGATGTTCCGTTGATGTCTATGACCTTTATGTGTAGTTCCTAAAACTCACCTCTATTCTTTTTACCTTCTCAATGGATTTGTGATAGTTTTTTCTTTTCATTTTATCCTTTCGTGTTTGTGTTTCCAAATGTTTACGGATATTATTGTAACAGATACCAACACTGAATATAACCATATAGTATATATAAGACATAAAGTTGAAAGATTACACATCGAATATAGAACTTTTGTTTTTGATGTTTTGGGTAATGAAAGACTAAGGCACTGCCACACAATTATATATCATGTGTGAATCATCGTGTCTACTACAACGACAGACGCACATACTGGATCATTCAAAAGAGTTCTGTTTCACTTTTTTCTCTTCTCATGTACTGCAACATACGGTTTATTGTCTCTCACAGATATAAGAACAGCGCATTGTTTGTGTTGCATTTGGAATTTAGTCATCAGCTGGATCTTGTGGACTTTCTTCAGCACTGCGCTTGATAACGATGACTGGGCATTCTGCATGCTTCACACAAAACTCACTCACCGTTCCAACAAATACCCTGTCCATGTGGTAACAAGTGTGAACTCATTAGACAATAGCCTGAGGTTTCAAACTCTATAATTATACGTAGACGGTAGGTAGTACAAGTAAAGAGACCTACTTCTCAACTTCTGTCAAACATAAGTTCTTTAAATCATATGATTATATCGCAGTAAAATGTCTAATATGGCATAGGCAGTGTTTTTATGCATGTAATCCCACTTCCTAAACCTATAAACTACGTAATGAAAACATCAATAAAAACTTTTAGATACCGAGACCATGGTTTTAGTGGTGAATCGATGCCAAAACTACCGAAAGACTTAGTCTATATCGGTATAAAAGCATTGAACAATAAGTCAACTTGAGAAGGAGTGTACGTACTTCTGGAATGGACCGAGACCACGACTTCCCACAACCAGAAAATCTGGCCTGACACGCCTCACTTCATGGCATATCACTTCCGTGGGATCACCTTTCCTGATCCAAGCCTCACACCCAACCTACAAATTCAACAACTTACACCTATCAAAAGTTTTTACTGCTAGTTTATTGAAATCAAGATACAATTAAAGGATTGTAATATAAATAATATCTATAATTCTAAAAAGAAGCATCCCCCTTCTTACCCCAATCTCATGACATTTATTAACGAAAAACTCAAGAAGATGAAGTCCTTTAGCCTTGTTACGCTCCCTCATGTGACGGAAATCATCAGGGGATGCGTATATGCTGTCCACGTCATCAAAACCTGTTTTTCCCAATTCATGATTCAATACAAATTAACATCAGCTTCCTATATACTCCATCTAACAAGAATCTAAGCTAAGTCAAACTCGAGATTATTCGAGCAAATCACAAACACAATCCTTCTCAAAACAAGCACGATTATATAAAAACATCAAATCCTATAACGATCTATTCAAACCCTAAACATAGCAATCGCACATCATTATCATCAAAATTAAGTGGACAGGCAAATTCAATTATGAAAAGAAAACGATTAGAAAAGAAGAGAGAGAGAATAAACCGTCTTGGTCCTGGACTTGAGTGTGAAGCAAGAGAAGCTTGAAGTCAGAGGTATTGGAGCGAACGATCTTCTTCAGTGTCCACTCGAACGCCTTTTTGCTGCTTATCGACGCGTGCGGGTAGCCTTTGATCGTCGACTCGTTCACCGCCACCATCACTCGAGTCGGCTCGCTCGCCATTTCTGAAATCGATGTCGTTCTCTAGAGGAAGCAAGAAGGCGGTGAAGAGGTAATCAAGCAGCGTGGAGGGATCACAAATGTCCTCTGAGTGTGTTGTGCACGGACGGCGCATATAAGATCAGGGTAGTACAATAATTAAGGGAGCTTTGCTAAAATACGCGCGGTCGGTTACTAGCAGTCACCTCAAATAAAATCATTGTTAGACCTTTTCGTAATGGGCCTCATAATTAGCCCAACAATATAAGTTATTAACGAATATGCCCATTACATTCGTATTATACTTTCCTAGGATCCTATAATAATCATTTTTTAGTCGATCGAGCTTAAACCATGTGAACTTTTAAAAATACCATGGATCCAGCTTTTAAGGATGTTTTTTAACGAATAAACCAGTGTTTTAGCTTTTAAGGATGTTTTAACGAATAAACCACTGTTTTTAAAACCGGATCGACCTGGTGGGTTGAGCAGATTCAACCATGAACCGGTCACATAATCAAATTAGGTCTAGTAAACCGATTAACTATTCAGATTGGATCTCAAAATTATTAAATTTAATAAAAATCATAAAAGCTATAAAAATCTATAAATCAATCATATGAACTAAAATAATTTATATTTATAATTTTGTTATATATTATAATTATTACTTTTATTTTTCAATTTCTATACTTAGAAAATATTGAACCAGATTATTAAACCAATTAAGTTTGATCTGGTCGAACCATACTGAACAGTAACTCAAAAAATATCCGGTTCAGCGTCCTATCCAATTTTAAAAACATTGTCATTTGATTATCAACTACTTATAAATGTACACCATCAAATTTGACACATAAATTTAGTTATTTACTATGAGATTTTGCTCCATATGAACACATAATAGACTAGAAAAAGAAAAAAAAAAAGCACACTATATATATATCCTCGGAAATTTCTAAATATGAACTAAAAAGATTCCTACAAAAGTAGTAGTGATTAAATCATTGAATTCCAGTGAAGGAGACTCTACCAAATCCAAGATGACCAATCTGATACAACTCTAACCACACTCTCTCTGCTTCAACTCTTGCACTTATTCTCGACTCACCATCATCCCCCTCCTCCTTCGTTAAACTCCCATCTCTCTCCACCACAAACCGGTGATCATCATAACCTCCTCCCCCGCCACAACATCCTACTCCTATACCACCGCATTTCTCATCTCCATCCGCCGTCTCAAACACATCTCCTTCACCGTTGAGTTCCCTGCAGCTCATCCCTTGTCTCGTCGTATTCAGCCTCCGCTTCTTCTTCTTTTTCTTCTTCTTATTCTTGCCGCCGCCGCCGAGACATCGCCGTCCGATCATCCACGGGACTTTGACGAAAGTGAGAGTGAGAAAGTTTATGATCGCACATGGACAGCAACAAAGCGCTACGCAATCAGCAATAGCCGCAGCCGCCCACGTCGACCGGCATCTCTTGCCGGAGCATTTGATGTCGTCACCGTGAAAATGGTGACGTTGTTGTCGACGGCTTTCTACATCTTCGGCGTCGTTTTGACAGTGGGTCCCGCCATTGGTTCTACGTGAAACTCGATGCGGGGTTTCCTCCATCAAAACTAAATCTTGCCTGGTAGATTAAAAAAAAAAAAAGACACTATCAGTGAGCTTTTGTAACTTATTTTTATATATGTAATACAAAAGATATATATACAGAGATATATGTATGTATGGGTTTATGGATCAAAGTTTTGAAAAAAAGTTCTGCTTACAAGTTGATACGTATAGGAAATAGTAAAGAAACACAGAGAGGTGTAGGAAACAACAACTCGAGATTTTCCATGCACTTTCACTTAATGACTCTATAAACAGTTCAGGTTTAGATTCACTTCTTCCTCAACCTCTCTTTAAGCGCGTGTATGCACACAACAATAAAATGTTTTAATAACGATTCCTTTTTCAAATTTGAATCTTATGTCTAAGAAAAAAAAATGTAAATGGTGGTTTTACCAAAAAAAAAATGTAGATGGTTTGGGTCGTTTGGTCTAATGACTGGTTTAGAGATGTGAAGGAGCGCGTGGCAAAAGAAAAGGTTATCGAATATGTTTTAATAAGGAGCTCTTCTAGGGATATGTAATTAATTAAAGTATTTTTGTTTGCTTGGTAGGTAATCTCATTAGGCCGTTTATATGTTAGTTTTTTAGATTTAGACTTGGATCAAAGAGTTGTATTGATTGTACGTAGCATTATTTACGTTTTACTCTACAAATCATAATAATTTAGAAGTAGGAAATAAAAGAATTTTGTTATCGTAAACTTGATTATGCCACAAACGAAAAGATGGAGATCGTTGTACCAGCAAAAATTTATGGTGACTAGTATTATATATTAATTAATTAGAAAATATTAAAAGATTAGTGTGATAACGTGGATGTTAGTGGGAAGGATTCTCCTTCACGTGGACTGCCGGGTCTTATAATGGCCCAATTACGTGGCCTGTAATAAAATACCATTTAGAAATCAATAGAATATAGCTAGAGTATATTGTGCATGTATCAATACGACAATAGCTCTTCAAAGTAATAGACTAATAGTCCTAGAAAGTCTATTAGGAATCTCCCTCGCATAATTACAGACAGATTAGATAATATATCATACTTGTGTAGGTATTAATTTTCTGCTTACTTAGATATGTGTGAACTATATATTTATGGGATATTGAGCATGAAGTTTTGACTCTTGCAAAGGTTATAAGGGTTACATTTTACTGTTGCATCTTTACTAGCTAAAGTGAAAATCATAATCAACTTTTATTTATTTCGTGCTTACTGTAAAAACAAAACATTTATATTTTGCCAGTGGAGCATAGTACATTTGTACTTTCACTTATATACAGTGGCGAAACCAAGCTAAATCTTTTATTGGGGTTAATTTCATAATAAACATAATTGTATGGATCATAAGTTAAACCTATAACATTTCTCAGTATTTCCCTCACTATATAAATATTTTTTTTTTCTTATTTACAAATACTATGTGGATCATTTGACCATTCTCATCAAGTAGTGGCGGGTGTGCAAAATGGTGGGTAAACTTTTAAAAAATGTAATTTGCATGTTCGTTACGCTACACTGATGTATACTAGCTCACATGGCCATGTATACTCTGTCTAAATGGTTTAGCATTGTTAGAAGCTAAGATTTCATGTCACGTCACATGGACATTTCATTAATAACAATTTAAAGTTGAAATACTCCAATCACACATGCAACCTAAAAGGGAATACATCTAAACTAACTGATCAAATAATCAGGGTTGAAAATAAATAAAGCTCCTTGGAATATGAATTTATCAGTGATGAGTGATGAACACTATATATACAGCTAGATAAAAGCTCTTCGGAAATAGTATGAATTTACCAGTGATGAACATTATATACATGTACAGGTAGATAAGAGCATGATCAAGATTAACTAACTGTGGAGGGAAGAAATTAGACGCGGCATGCATAAATAACCCTAATCGAGATGATTCCTTAAATATCCCTACACGTACGAGCCGTGTGAAAAATGTAGAAATTGTTGTAATGGTGCATGGGTTACCTTGGAGGATTGCTTGACTTGTTTTCTTTCGGGGTAATATATATCATGTACTAATATACATCAAGGACCGAAGGAAATATATTTTCAGTTGATGCGTGTTGTGTATCGTTTTTTGTAACCTTGAGATAGAAACTGTGGTTTTATGATGGATATATAATGGAGGAAACTGAAGGAGACTAAAACCCTCCAGCAAAAAAAAAAAGAAAAAGGAGAAGGAGAGGAATAATACGGAGAGGATGAAGAAAGATCACTGATCTAGCAAACGCTCTATTTATATATGATTTCCTTAATTATACGTAGTCTCTCTATACATATACATATAATCTTTTTTTATACATGTACACATATATCCACGTGTACATAAAGGGAAACACGATTTTTCTTCACATTATATGACTACATAAGTATATATGTACACTACTAAGCTACTGTATATATACATTTGTAAAATGTATTTTATTGCAGTATGAGTTTTTTTTTTTTGACTAAAATTTTGGTAGTATGAGTTTCCACATAATATATAGTGGACTATAAGATTTTCGTATATTTACGATTAGTTTTGATCAGTTTTTGTAGGACACGTATTATACAGGTTGTTATATAAGTTAAACAAGTTTGTTCCATCTACTTTTATAAATAATATGAATTATCGCTTTAGAACTTTAGGCTTAAGCTAACCAAAATTAGTAAATTATGTTTTATTAGATTTGATTAATTAAATACACGAGAAATAGATCAATTCAAAGCCGAGAAAAGTGCGATATGTTCAAAGATTTAGTGATTCTGGTTATTGATAATCAAATTAGCATAGTCTAATTAGATCAAGAAATACAAGAGCAAGTTAGTGAGTAAATTCCAACGACTCAACGACACCGGGTTGCATGTTTTAAAGTGGAATATTTTTACATAATTTCATTAAAAAGGTATTATTATTTGAGCTTTTTCGCATATATCTGTTCAATATCGGGATACTATTGATTTAGTCTGAAGATTTAATTACTGTCTTGTTTTGTATATAATCTTCTCTTGTATCTCATTTACTACTAATGAATATTTTCCTAAAATACTGAAATAGTGTCCTCATTTTTCAGTGATCATGTCATATATATATATGATAATGTCTGACCGTGACTAATGAAGAGCTTTTTCAATGATTCCGTGACGTGATCGTGTCTGTTTATCATTTTGAATCGAAATATATATCATACATTCATACTGATAAGAATATTCGTGTTTGCGCATTAAGATATCAATATATTTACATATACATTAATGTCAATAATTAGCCTATACGTGTACAATATATATAACGAATAGAAATAATAGCTGCTACGTAGTACGTATAATCAAATAACATCACTCTTAGTTTGAAAACGTATAAGAGGAACCTTGAGGAAATTAAAGCAAATAGATATTTTCACAGATTATAGACCAGTTGATTGTGGAAAATAATAAAAATAAGCTTTTGAACGAATTTATAGGAAATATCGGAGCTTGGTGTTCGATGAGTCCCGAAGACAGAGAGAATCATCTCATGGGAACTCTACCCAATTTGTGTTGCTTTCTATGCATTTTAAGTTTTGAACACTAACAAAAGAGGACAACGAATACCCATTTTAGAAAGATTTATTTATTTTTACCTCTTATTATAACTCTAAGTAATTGTTAAAAGAAATCTGAACGTATATATCATTACTAAATCGATGACCAAAAGTATCTTAAAGTATGCACTTAAATGTACAACTATTAAGAGTGCCATGTAAAAAAAGTGACAGTACGAGTAATATCCAAGTTTCTACGTTTCAGTGATGCATTTAATTGATGCGAGTAATATTTACGCAACTTCAGAGTTTTTTTTGGTTAAGTACTGTACTATTTGGTTTACATTTTAAGCATTTTAATTAAATTTTAACAAATCATACCATATATTTTATGTTTTTCCGTGCCTTTTTGACGTAAAAAAAAAAATAGCAGCGTCGTTCACGCCTTTTCCCCTCTGGTGTTGCTCCCTTTGGAGTGACTTTGGCTACAAAACACTTTGCACGTGCATTCGACTCTGAGACTGTCACGTTAGCAACTGAGATGCTTTTTGTTGACGAGCAAGAAAAAAGAGAGACAAGTCGCTTCGCCGTCTACACACATCAGTCTTCTTCAGTTAATCATTTCTATCTAATTATCACTGGTTATATGATGACACATGCTATATATATATACTAGTTCGTGCATCATTAAAATGTTTATCAGAAACTAAACATAGTTTTCAATGGTTCACATAATTGTAATTTTCTATCATATTTCATTTTAATTTATTTTCACAAAAAAAAATCAAAGAAAAAAGTGATAAAAATGTTTTATATCCATATAGTTAATTTAACTTAAATTTTTTATTTATATTTAATGGGTGTAGTTTTTGGGGTGAGGTTTAAAATTTTCAAAATAGAAATAAATATTTAAAAATTTAAAATAAAAAATTTTAAAATAGTTTCAAAAACATTTTCGAATTTAAAAAAGCTGAAAATGAATTATTATTTTTTATATAAAAAGTTCGAATCTGAATAGATATAATTCGAAATTATATAAAATTCCTCTTTATATTTTTTTTTTATTTTTTCAAATATTTATATATATAAAGGAATTGATGAAATACCTTTTCATTCTTTAATAAACTTATTTTGATGTTTTTTTATTAGAAATATATTTTCGTGATTATAATTTGAAATATATTTATCTGAGAGAATCGTCTTTCACAAAACCACATAATGCAAACAAAAAAATATAGACTTTTTTAAACAAAAAAATATAGACTTATTTTACAAAAAAAAAAAACCAATGCATGCAAAATGGCTTTTTTTTTTTTAATAGGCTTTCATTAATATTAAAATGCAGAGAAACAAAATACATGCAAAATGGCTTTATTTGTTTGTTATTGACTTATTTGTAGCTACCCAAACTTGGACGAAAAATAATTTTCCAATGAACACCAACTCTACCGCCCTTTACAACAACCTCCGCCCACCATAAAATAAAACGCATTCGTACAATAATAATGATTCTAATGATTATAGAGAGAAACTAAATTAAGATAATGAAGCATGATATAAAAGAAGAAAATAACAAGAGCAAGCATAACATCACTATCATATAACTACTCTTTTTAGTTTTTGTCGACTATAGCTAACTTTCATGATAGCAACTTCTTAGAGTTCTTGACATAAGATCTAAAAGCTTTTTATCTGATATCTGTAAACTAGGAGTAGAAGCTTCTGCGTTTGCGTCTGAATCGTTGTTACTGCCGCAGATCTTTTCCACGTGAACACCAATATCTTTAGCAAGCTTTTCAGCTCCATCTTTTGAGAGAATGGTGTCGAAACAAATGTATCTACCAAAAGCAGTTTTGTCACCCAAACCTTCCCATAAACGTACGTGAGCTTTAGCCAACCTGTTCACATCCATTGTCGCTAATAATCCGTTGCTATACATCTCTTTTGCTCCTGCATTTATAAAATAAAAATAAAACAAAGGGTCAAAATTTTATTAGCTGTCTTTGTATCTCTTTAGATATGGACCACCCGTGAACTACGTACACATGCCATTACTATTTGTTTGCATATGTTTATATATATATAATAGAATAATTCTTGGACGGTTATTCAATTTTGGATTCATATTCATTATGGTTTACCTTTGAGGTAGGCCAAAGTTGAAGTGGAGTTGCGATGGAAGAAGTCAGGACCAGTTATAAGAGCAGGACATATAGTTGCAAGTTTTAATCCTTTCGAATCTGCAATTCTCCAAGCAGCTTTCTCGGCTTTTAATTTTCCAAGTGCATACCAAAGCTGTGGAATTAATATCCAATTAATAAGGGTGGAAATAGAGAATTATCATGTATAGATAATTAAACATATGGTTCATCATGGTAGACAAGAATGTTCGCAACAGGCTCTCTTCCATCCGTGACACGCACACGGGCGGTTTAGTTTTATGGTTTGCTACGAGATAGTTTCTTAAAATTTCTATCTGGTTTATGAAACAACCAATCCAATGTAACATGTAAAACAGTTTTTTTGTTTGAATTTAATTTAACATTCTTTCAAAAAAAAAAAAAAAAAGATAATTAAACATATGAAATTTGTGATTTTAATTTACCTTATTATCGATGCAGAGTTGCTCATCACTCCAGTTTTCTTCATTGATAACAGAGTGATCAAGATCGTGAAAGGAACTGTCTTGCAAAGCGCAGGCTAAAAGAGATGATGTGAAGACACATTTTCTCACTGACCCTGTTCTTGTACATGCTTCTATTACATTCTCACTCACTTTTGCCTCTAACTCCGCCATTGATTTCTAGAAAAAAAATAACAAATGAAAATGAGTTGGAAACATTTTGTTAGAACAAGTGATTAAGACAGATTGGTTGAGATTGTCAAAAAGAAGAATGAAACTCCTCAATAGTAAATTTATAAAAACTGGTAGGTCCGGTTTTGTTATGATCTGACTGAAATGATGACAACATTTATGCTAGTGTTTACTGAATCAGTGTTCCTGGTTCATACACGTCTCAGTGAGTAGTTGCCGTATATGTAAGGTGTGGGTGACAATACACATCGTAATCGAACTTATACAAGAAAAAAAAAACATTTATTGGATTAGATGTCCTTATAAATAGGTAGATAATATGACTGTCTAAGAGGGATGTCTCAGTTAACTCTCAAAACAAGTGGAACCTACAATCAATCTAGAAGTGTAGAAATCTCATAATGCAAATTAATGACACTATACAACTCTCTTCCTAATCAGGTGGTTGAGGTTGAATATTGTCAAAATGTCAACAGTATAAAAAATATGTATACAATAAAGTGGCATTTTTCAATCTTATTCAAAAGAGAAGCGTTTAGATCTCACAATGAAGGAGATATCAACACAAATCTTATGTATGTTGGTAGCGAAGAGCCATCAATTATAAAAAAAAATAAAGTAGTTAGGGCATTGAAATTTATGGTTGAAAATAAGTAGGCTACTCAACAAACATTCAGAAAAAAAAACTAAAGTACTAGCTAAGTACCAACCTCAACTCATAACTACTTCATTAACAAGAAAGCAGAGCCACTCAAAAAGTCTTCTAGAAACAAAAACAAGAATCTATTTTCCTTTTGACACATTCTCATATTCACACCTGAGACCTGACACGTACTCCACACTAGATTGTGTTTAGACAAAAAGAGATTAAAAAAAAGTTGAACCACGCAGAAAAACACATGTGACTGTTCCATGTTTATATGCAACTTTTCATGGATACAAAGAGAGTTTCAAATTGGAACGTAACATGTCATGTACATTCAATGTGATGAACTGTATACGTATGCGCAAGAGCGTATACGTATCTACATTTTTTACACATACGTGTAAACAAAATGCTGATGATACATAAATGTGTGTTTGTGCATTTTGAGTGTATGATATTAATGATGATATTGAAAACATACCGAATAACCAGAGATTCCAGCTGGATCCACAAATGCTGCGGTGTGGAAGACGCCAGCACAACCATCGAATGCTTTAACCAAACTCTCAGTCTCTGTTAATCGTGACACTACCGACGTAATCCTGTTGCTAAACGATGCCGTTTCAGCGTCAGCTTCAATCTCATTCACTTTCTCTTTATCCTCTGCATTTTTTCATCAAAATTTAGAAAGAAAATCAAGAACTTGAAAAATCCTCGAACTTCTAGAAAAAATCTACTTTTATTTAATTTTAATGTCATTTTATAGATTTATCATTAACTAATTTCAAAAAATTAATCTATAATTAGTAAATAAGGAAGCATATAATTATTTACCTATACAGTCCAAAACGATTCTAACAGAGTAGCCATGAACAAGAAGCCGTTTAACAATGGCGCGACCAAGATAAGAAACGCCGCCAGTAACACAAACCAATCTGTTTCCACCGTCAGAATCAAGATCCATCGCATTTCTCCATTTACCACCACCAGACCCTCGGAACCCGTCGTCGTCTCTCCTCCTCTGCACAGCGGCGCACAAGAACTCCTTAAGCTCCGCCGAGTACTTCTCCGTTGCACGTACAATTCTCATAGTCGTGAGAACAAAAAAAGCAGCTCAACTACAAGTTCACTGCCTTTGCTTCTTATGCTTTCGTTGGCTTATGAGTTCAGAGAGAGAGAGTTACACACAGAGGATTGAGAAATGAGAAAGATGATATATATAGCGAGAGCAAGACATCGATCACACGATATATGCTTCCAAGAAAGACTGTAATAAAAGCAGCTTTATCGGCTCGGCTTCAGCTTTACAACGGCTTTTGTATTTATTTTCTTGTCAACAGTTTTTAAAATATGTTAAAAACGGCTTCCGTTTGTATATATATACGATCCCATTAGTTATGTATCTTCGCCATTAATAAATACGTTACAAAAAATAAAAACTATACATCTGGTGGTTATAGTATTAGATTCTGGGTTTCCTATGTTTTACTATAAGATATAAATGATTATATTATGCATTTATATTAAGCAAAATAATGAATCCTCTGATCTGTTTTTAATAGATTGTGATCTATTTTGGCAGCTTGATGAACTAGTGGTAACTTGAAAACTGGATAGTTAATCCCTCGTGTTAATAAATAAAGATTATGAATTGACTAACAATTTAGTTTTCAAGCTGCCAAAATATGTTTTTAGTTTTCCAAGTTATGTTTTTATTGGACTATTTGGTAATGTAGAAGTTGAAAAAATAATTAAAAATAATGTACTTTTGTATTAACTTTTTCGCATTAGTATTCATTAGAGTCAAATACGTTACTATAATAAGCATATTAAAAAGTAAAACACGTTAAAACTAAACTTAATTAATTATTATTTGTTGCCTAGTTGGCTTAAAATTTAATTGACCATGCCGTAATACATGACTTGCTAGTTTGCATCCACTTGGTTTCTGTCCAAACTGATCACTAGTTATATTTATTACGATCTAGACTAGTAGCTAAATCTATCTGAACTAAGACAAATTAACAAAATGTTCCTAATATAAGTTACATTAAAATATCAAAATATTATCATTTGGGTAAATTGCTAGTGATTGATATTTATATAAGTATAATATGATACCAAAGCGTAAAATAACACTCTCACTGTTTTATTTTTAAACAGATAAATCTTACTAAAAAGACAGATAAATCATTGACCCATTCTTTTCTTGATTATAACTTTTAGGTATTTGGTTATTTTAAATACAGTTATATATTATTTATCTACGGATTATTATGGGACGCTCACGGTTTTTGTTTGCGACTCTTGTTTTTAAGCGCAAGTAAACTATACATCCATTCTCACCAACTCTTGTTACTCTATGGGTTACTGTTAAAACCTAAAAAACGTAAAAAAAAAATATACCAATACTTTTTCTTTTGGGATGAAAATGTCAAATCTTACAAACCTCTCGTGTTTTAAACCAAAAAAAATCAAAAATCCTATGTCTTCCTTATTTGACGCAAGTGAAATAGTCGTGCAGCACATTGCAAGTTTGTCACCAACTTTCATCACTTAACGAGTCACTATTTCTTTTGTTTTTAAAGGGGCTAATCTATCGCTCTTGCTAAGATGGTCTCCTTAGGGCATCTCCAACCCAACTCCATTTTTTACTTCAAAATGGAGTAAAAGTGATTATGGAATAAAAAATGCTCAAACCCCAATTCATTTCTTACTCCATAATGAGATTTACTCCATAAATGGAGTAATCTATTTTTTGTTTGTTCACTACTCCATTATGGAATTACAAATAGAGTGGGATTGAAGCATTTTTACTCCATAATCATTTTTACTCCATTTTGGAGGAAAAAATGGAGTTTTACATTGGAGATGCTCTTAGGCCAAAAAGAAAAAGGCAGAATCTACTGCTGATGAAATCATTAAAGCATTCCACGATAAGCTTTACAATTATAATAAGAAAATTAATTGTTATCGGATGACATATAGAGTAAACCTAATACCACCATTGGCAATAGTGATGAATATATATGTTGGCAATAGTGTACATAATCTCGTAGGGAACTGAATCAGACAATTTTACTATCCACGATTAAACATATAATAAGCATGTACTATCAGTTAGTTATTGTAGTCGTCAACTTCCTAAGCCCAATCTAGGTCAAAAAATTATAACGAGTGAGGAAAACACGAAGATGCCTGACGAGTACCACCAGGTCATAATTTGCAAATTTGCTTTTGGGCCAACTTTTAAATGCGCTGACTATGAAATTACGATTGGCAGCGGATGGTCAAAGAATTTCGCAATTTTTTTTTGACCAATATTGTCACCTCAGTTTATTCCAATTTATATATTTATTATATACCCCTTTTTGTACAAGTTGATTTATTGCATATTCTGATGTAAATGGGATTAGGGGTTTAATCAGTATCCAGGACCGGCCATACTTACATATTTTGCTATACCACATAAAAAATGTTTTATATATATATATCTTATTTCGTGTTCAAGATCTAAGGGCTCACAATGCTTAAATTATAAATAATTTAATATTTATAGCTGTATAAATATAGAAAAATCAATATACAATAAAATCAAAATAACTAAAACAGAATTGTGGCTATTTGCCGTTAAATTATTGGTTACTATTGTATTTTAGTTAATGTCACTGGTAAATACAAAATGATGATATTTATTGTGTTTCAAAAAAAAAAATGTATATTGTAACATTTAGAAGAAAATATGTTATCGTATTACATATTTTTTTTGTTCACAGTTATCGTATTACATTAAATGTTGTTATTTGGATGTTAAAATAAAATTGTTATTTGGAAAAGAAAACTTTTAGAAAAATGATGTGGCAACCAAGAGATGTAAGTTAATCAGCTCGGCTTGACTGACTCGGCTGAGTGGACAAGCGCGAATAATTTGACATCACGTGTTGAATGACAAGCAGACACGCACGGGATATTTATTCTCTCAACCCCTATTTTTTTTTGTCTGAAATTGAGATGGTTAGCTGAATTATGCTGACGTGAAACCTTCTGGTTGGTTTTAACAAACTCTAGTGTGTGGTTTTTGATGGGCAAGCCAATTCGGGTTGGTTCCGTCCAATTTGTCACGAGAAAGACCAAATTTTAACATGTGATTGTGTGGGTCTCTACGAAGGTTATAGTCACGCATTTGTAAGGCAATGTCGTAAGATTTCGTTTTCTAGTGTAGTTGCTTTTGTCGGTTTGGGTCCATTGGCGCCCATACTGTTTTTCCGTGGTGAGGAGAGGAACTCGTAATGCCAGCAGAGTCGTTTCTAGTACAAATTCGTTTCATACCCCTATCAAAGTCAGCACCAATCATTTTCCGCCGCCAAAGAAAAATGATAATGAGCTTTTAGAAATTGGATTGGGCTTGACGTTATGAGTCTTTTCTCTAAACGATGCGCTTTGTGAAAACATGAATGAGTTTATTTTTTAAAAAGGGAAACAAGATAGATATGAAGAAGAGCATATCCTTGTGAGTGTGTATGTCTTTTGTTTGATGTTTGAATTCATAGTTATGTCTCTTCTGAAAATCCACACACAACTTTGTTTTCAGGTCATAGCAACGCAGATTGGAGCCATGGGAACTATATTGCACGCAAGGTTGCTCTTATTTTATCATTCCTTGTACGATAGTGGTCACTTGAGATTATTGAGTTGATCCATCTCTCTCCTTTCCTTTGTCTACAAATCTAGGGCATATGTTTTATGCCTAAAACTGAACTATCTGCACACTAGTCACTAGGCTCTCTGTGAAAAAAAAACTGTTATTGGTTATTGTTCGTACTCCTATAATTCTGCCCATAGGTCTAATATCGGCAGAAGGGATGTCTGTTGACAAGGAAGGAAGACGGGATGTCTGTTGAACTAACATTTAGTGTCTCATGTGTCAGTTCTCATGTTCCCTCGAAGCATCGGGTTCGCTCACTTGGTCTTAAAGATCATTCTTCGGTACTATTAACATTTTCATGGATACATTGATTTGACTATGGGAAAAGTCTGCATAAGACCAATGATAATTAGAGATTCTGTGTCTTTCATTGTAGGAGGTGTTGAAGGATATAGAAGCGGCTGTGATTGAGAATCGCCTTTGGTATATGTTGAAAGGATAATGAAAAGATAATTTATACTTTGCTCTTGGTGATATAATTAACTAAGTGAGTTGTGGTAATTTGCTTTTATTTTAGTTTGGTAATCAACGATATCAAAGACCTTGCTTCGAGTTAAAAGGTCGTCAAATTCTCTCTCAACATACATAAACAAAGAACATGTAATAATACAAACGATGCAAGTATATAACACAATCATAAACAAAACATAGGCGGCCAAAGGACAACGCGAGGACAAACATTGTAGTCGTAGTAGCTGTCACATAATATGTAACCTGTCAAATAAATTACACTCAATAATCATATAAATATAAACACACAAATCTCTCTTTCTTCTTTGTCTTGAGAAGGGAATTTGGGGTTTTTTTTTACTCAAAATCCCCAGTTTCATCCCTGAGCTTGTGTTTTGTTGTCTCCATGAGACTCAATCGTTTCTCTGTGTTAATGCATTTAACTGGTTCTCTAACTGCATAGAATAAGAAACAAAAGTTTTACATCTAGTGTCGGAATATGTATAAGATTTTTATCTCCAGAGATAATGATAGCGAATGAAGTTCAACTCATGATCTCAATTCAATATAATTTAATGTGGAAGTCTTTCTACAAGAAAGTGAGAAGACAAACCTGCCCATTTCTCTGCTTCTGTTTCTTTAGTTCTTCTGTTTGGCTCAAAACGCTTCAACAATCAAAGAAAAGTAAATTAATGTTGATGTTAAGAATAGAAGACGCGTTTTAGTTTTGGTCACGTTGGTAAGGACATAGAATCTCCCTGAGACGTTTCATAATTAACTTCATGACTAGTACTACTAGACTACTAGTGGTAATCAGAGTAATTTTGGTGAAAGGAAGAGATGTATTTATATATATATACCTTTGTTGCAGTAGCATGAGTTGGGTCTGAAGTTCTCTCTCCCGTGGAGTTGCAGGCGTCATCTACATGATAAATATGATATCAAATTCGAGTTGATAAGAATAAGATTTAATTTGATGGCAAATTTGAAAGCGTTTTTTTGTTGTTCTCTTATTCGTTTACCTGCAATAGCTCATCGACGCTTGTCTCTGGTGATCCAGGTTGCTGCTTGACTATGAAATTGACCGAAAAAATTAACTCACAACATTTATGTTAAATTCTTCAACAAAAAGGTAATATATATGATCATAGAGATAATAAAGCTGTAAGATGAAGAGGATTGTAGTACCAGCGGTTTGCTCCATAAGTTTTATTAATTTCAAAATCTCTTCCTGCCAAGACAAGAGTATTTAACTAACGACTGTAAAAGTGATTTTTTCTTATGGATTTGAAATTTACCCGCTGTATGGTATTTTGCTGCAAAAGCGACTGAACTGATGGGAGGACTGAGGCGGTAGTTAGGGAGATCGGGCTGCTTGAACCACCGGTAAACGGTGTGACTGTAGAGTTTGTAGATCCCTAATAATACAAAATCGAAACACACCTTCAGTATTTCATAACGACAAATCAACTAGTCCACATATTGCTCTTTTATGTTTCTACCACTTTGTTTAAAGACAATAACAGCTTCAACGAACATGAATAAGCATATATGAGTTCGATACTTGTTATACCTTGGGACTCAGATCAGCTGATGTGACCTTAAACCGTCCCTTGTGCTCCACATGCGGGGAATCTGACATCTCGTCCACTGCATAAATTGTATTCCAACTGAAGACTATACAAGAATTACATGTACACTATAATGAGCGGGTGGGAGATGAATTACCAGTATCTTTCTTGGCGCGATACAATGATCCGCTGTAGCTCTGATATCTACGCAGTTGAAACTCCCTATACAGACGTAAGTCAAGTGGCCTTTAAAATTAACTCACATTTCAATAATAAGAGGTTCAAAGTCAATGAATGACGCATGTCAAGATAAGTTTTGAGGATGCTAACCTGTCAACTTCCGTTGAGATTCTTTTTGGAGAGTAAGTACTCTCTGGTATAAGTGAACCACTCGAATATTTTTTTTGTTCAGAAATGAGATGACGAGGTAAAGAAGAGTTTTGTGCTGCAGTGTCCTCTTCTTTCGTGGTGTGGGCCAGAGATCCAATAGAAGCCTTTGTAAAATTCTGTTGTCCAGTACTCATTAGGCTTGCATCTTTCCAATCAGGAGTAGTTGCATTATCCTCGTCCTCGCCGATATCAAAGCACCCTCTGCATCATGGGACAAGTAGAATAAAGCTCAATCCTTGGTTCAAAATTTAGAAACGTTGTAGGAATACTAAACAAAGGGATGGTTATGGAGGAAAATTATCAATCTGCTGTACTACTCAATGTAAACACATCATGTGTGCCAGTGCCTTTGGATTTCTATTGGATAAAACCCAAACTATAGGAGCTAGTATAAATTTAGAGAACAAGACGTACTTGAGTGCTTGAAGAGGTTTGCTTGGAAACGAGGCGAAAGAACTCTCCAAATCATGTATATCGTTCAATTCGTCCTGAAAAGAAGAAAAAGAACTATTTAGTTGACATATAGAAGTTCAAATTTAAAAGATCTATATTTCTATTCCCAAAAGCGGGTTGATAAGAGTATAGAGAATCGTTTCAAATAATACATCCTGACTGGGAGTTGTTGCTGAGCTGCTAGCCCTTTCAGGGGAAAGAGCAGATTCATCCAGCCTTCCACATTGCTTTCTGTTGAAATCAGGCTCTTCAGCATGTGAACTATCATCATCTGAAATCTGCAAGGCCAGAAAATTAGTCCCTTGCCTTGCCTTGTATAATTAACTTTGCTAGAAAGATGCTGGACTTACAAGAGCAGCCTGACTCTTTAGGTCCTCGAGATTGAAATTCCAAGCGCTTATTCCCCTTATGTATTCTTGCTACAGAGAAATAGAAAGTCTTTATAAGATGTGCATAACTAAAACACACAATCACACTCGACTACCAGAAGATGTTTGGACTTCTCATGCTAAAAAGTAGCAGCTTAAAGACATTATGCAGAATATTTTCAACAGATGGGTGAAATTTTTGTTTCCTAATCCTTGCCTGTGATAGGTGTGCTTCGTACTCAGATTTGTTTTGCATCAGAAGATCAGCTTCCTTTGACTGAAAGGAAAAATTCACATATCAATCAAGCTTTTCCAGAAAATTTTCTTCCAAGCAAAGACAGAATAAATCTGAGAAATGGGCATGTGCAGACCTTTATCGTTCTATAGCGTTCACCTAATGGAGGAAGACCATTAAGAATTGTTTTAGCCAGGTAATCAGGCGGGCGCGCTTGTTTGAAGAAAGGGTGCTTTAAAAGCTTTTCTGAAGTTGGGCGCTTTTTTGGGTCCTTCACTAGGCATGTACCCACCATCTCTTTGAAGGCCTGTTAAGGCCAAGCAACCATTAAGGTGAAAAGAAAACACAAGAAACTAGAATGATAAAAAAAAAATCACCACTCACGCACTTTTGAAAATCTTTTGTCTCTCTCGTAGTCAAGCCCGGGAGGTGCATTTTGTAAGGTCATCAGCAAAACCTACGAGTGACGATTAACACAAATAGAAATACATGAGCTGAGTACCAGAGAGCAAAGAACAATAAAAGATCAAATCGAATCATTATAACTTTACTTTCATTGGCGGATACTTGGAAAATGGGGCATGACCATGTGCCAGTTCAAGTGCCGTTATTCCAAATGACCATACATCTGCTCTGTGACAGGGAAGAAATGTATCAGCCAATAAAATGCGTACATGATTTAGCGTACATGTAGAGTTTAAAATTTATAGAGTATCATCGGCTTACTTAAAATCATATCCATGTAGCTGCTGCATGACTTCAGGAGCCATCCTATGCAGAAACAAGTATAAAATCAGAAATTATGTCTAAGATGTATACCTAGTTACCTACAGAACATGGCATTACTAAAGTTAAAAAGGTTACCAGCATGGAGTCCCAACGAATGTATTTCTGGAACGTTGTCTATCTCCTGTATCGAACATGCAAGCTGACACTCCAAAGTCTGCTAGCTTAACGACACCATTGGAGTCCAATAGTATATTTCCAGCCTGCAAAGGAAGCCATACGTATATTAGTAAAAACGATAATACCTTCATCTCAGTAACATACAGCTAATAGGAAGATTACTATAAATAGATAAACAAGGAAAGTCCTACACTAAAGAGAAAAGCTGCAAGTAGTTACCTTCACATCCCTGTGTATATGTCCATGAGCATGAAGATACACAAGAGCTCTCAGAGTCTCACGGAGTAAAGTAGCAATAACAGGTTCCTCAAATCCGTCTTGATAAGATGACTTAATTATATGGAGACAGGATCCTCCCGCCATGTAAGGCATCACAACCCATAGCTGGTGTCCAGCGGTAAATGAGCAATGAGCTTGTAACACATTTGGATGGTTGATCAAACTCATTGTTTGCACCTCTCTCCGGATCCCATCCTACAAAAAAATTCAATTTCTATTCATTCAAATTAACAAAAACAAAGTTCCGCCAATTAAACTACGTTGACAGATTCATTAGTTGCTGCCAATTAAACCACAATTGGACTCTCACAAGCATCAATCAAAAGACCAAAGAGTGCTTACCAAATCGTTGTTGCACTTTTCAAGATCAAGAACCTTGATAGCAACGACCTCGTTAAGCGGTATACACAAAGCTTTGTGCACAGTGGCACTAACACCATCTCCAATCTCTTCTTGTAACTTGTAGTCTTTTGCATTGAGAGGAAACTTTCTCTCTGACATAATTATTTTGTTATCTTCTTTAAAAAAAGCATATGCTATATACACCTTTGACCACGTCGTAACCTTCCAAAAATTAGGTCCAATCTGTGTAAGGTTTCTTCCAATTCACCAGCATTCTACACTTCTTCAACGCAGAGATATCTGCGCAAATGCAATTCGAAGGAACAAAATGATAAGCTCGTCGTCTCCTCACCGTAACTCGTTCTCGATTGCGAACAAATAACTATAGAATTCGATCTACAAACCTTAGACGCATTTTCAGAGATTCTACACCACACAATATCTCTTAATCCGATTTGAGAAAAATGAAGAAAACTAGAAAATTAAATCAATCCTAAAAAATCTTCAGATGAGTATTTAGCATTACCGAAACGGAATTCGAGAGAAGCGAATCTGGGAGAAGAAACAACGCTGACCTTAAAAGTCAAGTCAACGGAGGAGGCGTTGCTTAAAAGCTGACTTGACGATCCTCCTAGCACGCGGGAACAAAAGGAGGACGTTAGTCAACCGCCGTCAATTACGGTTAGAGGCGGCGTGTGGAGCTTGATGATTTTGCGATCGATCTGGTAATTGAGAAGAGATTATGAGATTTCGTAGCACGAGAGAGAGAGAGGTTAGAATCTCTCTCGCTTTCTCGTTCTTCGTTGTCGACTCGTATCGACTTGTGTTGCTTTTCTGGCGTCTGGTTTTCGCTTAGCAGAAAGAATCTCGAGGAGAAGCTAAGAGAAACGGTTACGAAAACCCGGTTTGAAGTGGTTTAGTTGTGTACCGGTTTTGGATCAATTTTAGTTTAATTAATATGAGGACCGAGAAGTAATCCAATCTGGTTATGATTAAATCTAAATTTTAAGGCAAACTGTTAACTTGAATTTTACAGTTTGACTAAATAACACTGCGACGAACTTTAGCTATAAAACTGATGAAAATACAATTGAATAAATACTATTCTTGGTGACAAAGGTTTCAAATATTTTTGACGTTTAAGACAGCCATTCTGAATTTTACGTCATTTTGGATTTTATTCTAAATGACTTTGAATAATTTTCTTTTGGACAGAATATCAGATAAATTTGTTAAAAACCAGTCCATGCTTACCATATAAATATTAAGGCTCCGAATTACTTGGGGTGCTGTAAAAATGGATAAGAAAATCGAATTATACCTTCAAACTAACAGAAACTCTTGGTTTACGTTAAGTGTAGAAGTTTACCGGGTACTAAACCGAATTTCCGGTTCTGTTTATCGTTTTATCACTTAAATTCCGTACCGATATTCTAAATTAAGAAGACTGACTCGTACATATCGGGCTGGCAGGATGATGATTGCTTCAGGAGGTGTTGCTTGCTGGGGTCAACCTGCTTCTTGATTGGATGGAAATTGCTCTCACCTGAATTATTTCATTTATGTAACAAATGAAAATATTCTTCTTGTGACTTATTGTATAATTAAACTGTGAATTTTATGCAAATTACCGGAAAATAATATATATATATACCTTTAAATCAAATCTAGAGAGCTTTATTACAACTCACATATGATGTTGACAAAATAGACCTTTAACACAGTTGAAATACACAAAAAGTCGATAACAGTACAGTTTCATTGTTAATTGTGGTTTATCCATGTGCTTGGGAAATCATAATGGGCAACAATATCTCAAATAGTATTGTTTTTTTGACTAAATATACATGAAATAGTCTCCAGATAATCATAAACTTTATAATATACACTTTATTTTTGTAAATGCTCAGCACAAAAAAAGCTATTAGAAATATGAGGGTATTTATATTATTAAAACTTAAGTATCTTTTGATACTATTTGTAAAAAAAAATAATAGAATAAATGAGAATTGTTTGCAAATATAGATAGCAGATTAAATACTTTTTTATTTGCATATTTAGCCATTGCATTTACATAAATTAAATACTTTTCTTTTGTATTTATTTTTATTTACAGATTTTGTCTTTGCATTTAAAATAATTTAAATTAATTTATTACAATGGTTTTTTATTTGAGGCAAAAATAAAAACACAAATTGAAATATATAGTATATATTATATAAAATAGTTGTTAAATATAGTATTATCTTATTTAATATAGTCAAATATAAAATTTAGAGAGTTAAATTTTTTAAAAAATAAAATATTATAAAATTAATGATAATTTATAAAAAACTATTGCAATAAATTAATTTTTAGTATGTTGTTTCATTTTAATATAAATTAAAAAAAAACAACATGTTACTATATAAATAGTATTAATTACATCAAACTGCATCAATTTCTAAAATTTCTAATTTAATATGATGTACAATAAAAAATATTAAACATTTATATTATAAAGTAATAAATTTTATTCTATATGTAAATTAAAATACATAAAAATATATAGTTATTTTTATAAAACTAATAATTATTAGTTTACGTTGAACACAAATTAAATCAAACATCCGCACGGAGGTGCGGGTCAAGTTAGTATATTATTATAGGTATAAACAAAGATTTTCCTATATTCAAAGCTTAGTTAATATGTTTTGAAAATGTCTGAAATTATTACTGTTGGTATATTGGTTGATCGGTTTATTATAAATGTAAATTTATATTCTTTAAACGTATTAGAAATAATAAAATAATCATTTATTTATCAATATCATGTAATTTATATTTCAACTGGTAAACTCTAGAAATATCGTAATAGAGATACAATTAAAATTGCTTAGATCTGTATTAGATTTTAAAATGACATTCTGCGTTAAACAAAAAGTAGGTCATATAACATTTTTAATTAAGAAACGAATAAAGCATATTTGAAGATCTCAAACCATAAATAAAAAGATTATGTGTGTTCGAGAACATGCCAATATAATGTTCAATAATGATGCTCTTTGAAGAGATGAATATTAACAAGTGGACTAATAAATGTCTGTGTTTTATTGTGCCCAACTTGATCAACACAAGAACACATGTCATAATAGTATGGAGGGTCCATCAAAAATAATTTTACAATTCGGCTTAGGGATTGATTGGTAAAGAATTAGCATAAGCATTATGCTCTCTATTATCCAATCAACATTTGGCAAAGAAGCATTTAGAAAAGCATTTATCAAATGCAAATGTTCTCCAAATGTTTTTTGCTCAATGCTCTCATATAGAGCTTTTGGGAGAGCATTTGCATATAGAAAATATAAAACTTAATAATATTTATATATAATTTATTTATTTTTGTTTAAAACTATAAACAATATTTTTATAATTAAATATAAATTTATATTTAAAAAAAAATAAAATAAAAATTATAATTAATTATTTTTAAAAGAACAATATTTCACATTTAAAATATAATATAATTTATATAATTACATATATCATTCATTATTTTTAATAACAAACATAACATAATATAATTTATATATTATCGATATAAAAATATTATTTAGACACTAATAAATAAATTATATATTAACTTTTATGATAATTTTATATATGAGTAATTTAGTGCTCTGCCAATAAATAAATAATAATAATTTATATATAAATAATAATTAATTAATTTATTTATTTAATAATAATTATAATTTAATAATAATTAATTAAATTATAACTATAATTTTATATATGAGGAATATGTTATATCCAAAAAAAAATATTTTTTTAAAAAAATTATTTTTTAAATATAATTTACATAATGAAAATTAATTATTTTTAATAAAATTATATATTATTAATATATATTATATATGTATATTATTTTAAAAGAAATATATTATTTTACTAACTATCATGACAATTTTAAAATTGTATACTGCTAATGCTCTGCCAATCACTTTATTGAAAAATTTAATGAAAGCATACAGCTTCTGTAGCATACTGCTTCTGCAGTATACTGCTACTGCTTTATCATCTGCTGTACCAATCGAGGCCTTAATACGCAAAGTAGTTGTGAAATGGAATAACTCTTTTTTTCTATTAACAACGGTCTCCGGCGGAGTGGTCTATCACCGGCGACAGACAAACTGGATTACTCATGTTACCTAATCACATGAAGAGATAACAATTTTGTACTGCAAAAAATTGATCTCTGACCTAGACCAAAAGGACTTTTCATTCATGGAAAACTACTAAACCATCCACCACGATGGGGTTAAAATAAAACAATCAATATTTTTGATAAAACCAGTATACAGTATTCATAATTAATATTTCGGATTAAAACATCCGTATAAAAAAATGTAGCAGCAACTTCAAATCATACGCTTAAAATGTTTAGCATCCGAATAACGAAAACAAAATTTCAACGTTATAAACTTTCAAAAAATACCAATGACAAAAAAAAAATTATAATGTTTTATATGCAACATAAAACCAAATCTCCTTTTTTCCCCACTAAATCGTCAGCCTTGACGCAACATTCCCTGAAAACTCGTGATTATACCAATAAAACAATATAAATTATCCTTAAACAAAGACAAAGAATTAAAGAAATAGATCACGGTTCCTTGTCAAAGCTGCCTCCTCTTGCTGCTCAAGTAAAAGCCAACACATCCACATCTATACGCACACACATACGAAAGCACCTTCTTCACACACATATATATACACACACACAAACAGAGCAAGTCCAAGTCTATGAGCAGAGTCAAGAAGACAATAGATTATTACAGATAACGAAGAAGAACACATAAAACATGCAAGATTTTTCATATCCCATGGACTCGTTTAGCCCTAGCTTCAGTTTCTACGTCTCCGGTGACGGTAAGATCGTCGAAGCCGCCGTTAGAGTCGTCCGTGAGTCCCAGAGCTACGGCGACGACACAGCTGAATTCGAGTTCGAAACATTACCGTTACGCGAAGAGAACTTCTTCCACTTCCCAACGACAAAGGGGAAGCAATCTCTAGCAGCTGTTGACGATGGAGACACGTCCAAGAATCTTTTGTACGGTGGGTGGATGCTTGATCAGTCTATATCCTCGCCGTCTCAGTCACATTCGTCAGAAGACTCGGAGGGGGATCTTTCTCCGGGAAGATACAGCTGTTTCTGGAGCCCGAGCCGATCTCCGGCGAGAGGGGATAGCTCCAAGACCAAGAGTAAGTCTACGAGTGGGCCGAGACGTTGTCGTATTAAGGATCTTTTGAGGAGAAGCCACAGCGATGGAGCTGTTTCGGCCACTAGCGAGACTAAGCGATGTCGTTTCAAGGATCTTTTGAGGAGAAGTCACAGCGACGGCAGGGTAAGTGGGTCTTCTTCGACTTCGCCCGTAGAGAGAGGGAATAGTAAAACGACGTCGAATAAGTATACTAGTAACACTGGGGAAGTGAATATGAGAAGGAAGACTTATTTACCGTACAGGCAAGATTTGATCGGCGTTTTCGCCGGAATGAGCAGACTCAGTCGTTAAAACAATTCGTGTTCTAAGTTGTAACAAGTAAATATACAAATAGCTCCTTGTTTGTTCGTTTTTTTTGGCAATGTATAATCTTTTTGATTCTATTAAACCTCAAAATACACTTGTCATACTTTCAAAGAAATAGAGGGGGAACACTTGCTTTGAACGGTTAGAATATGGGCCATAATGGGCTGGGGCAGTGAACGTGTTATTAGCCGGCCTATTAACATACCCATTCGTGAGAGTTCTAAATGAATTGTCAATCACCACTTCCTAGTCATTAATTACAAGGTGATTTCATACATTTATTCTCTACAATCACTTTCAATAAAAACTTTGATATGATAAAGTACTAAAAATAGTAACATGAATTATGGCTAAGAGTCTGATTTATAAATTGTGGAATAATATAAATAGAGTAAGACAAAATAATTGAGTGGAAATAAAGTAAAATATTAATGTTACGATCAATTTCTCTTCAATAAAGAGGAAAAACAAATAGTTCTGATAAAATAGGAAAGAGAAGATATTTTAACGAGAACCAGAGATTAAATTGAGTTATTACTTTTTCACTCGTTTGGTGAAACTCAGAGGAAACTGGAGTAGCAAACAAAATTCCACCAAATTTTTACACCAGAAAAACTATTCAATCGTATCCTAAATGTAACATATTAAAAACATGATTTATGACTAAATATGACATATCGATTACAATGTATTTTGATTTTTACTTTTCATAAATAAATTTCTTAGAATATGAAAATAACTGTATATCATTATCAAAATAAATAAATAAATAATATTATGTGAATGATCTTTGTTCTTCTATTAAGTCGGTTTCAATTTACAACATGGTGAAATAACAAAATATGATTTTTATATAAGCAGAATGAAATGTTAAACAAAAAGAACTAAAAAAAAACATTTTCATTTGAATTTGCCTATGGGTATGCGAGAATTTGAGGAGGTGGTGGAGAAATGCAGGTTTAGTGATATTGGTTCTCATGGACCTTTGCTGACTTGGTGCAATAAGAGGGTAAATGGGGGTTTAATATGTAAGAAACTGGATAGGATTCTCATTAATGATGTCTGGCTGCATAAGTATCCGCGGGCTTTTGCAGTATTTGAAGCGGGTGGGTGTTCTGACCATTTGAGGAGTAGGCTTCAAATGAAGGTAGAAGAAACAGGGAAGCACAGGCCTTTTAAATTCACAAATGCGGTCGCTGAAATGCCGGAATTCCAGAGTTTAATGGGAGGATACTGGGATTCTACTGAGAGATTATTTCATTCTACTTCTGCTTTGTTCAGATTTGCAAAAAAGCTCAAAGCTTTGAAGCCACATATCCGAAGTCTCAGTAAGAGTAAGTTGGGGAACTTAGTGCAGAGAGCAAAGGATGCGTTGACTGATTTATGTAAAAGGCAAGAAGAAACACTGAGGAATCCTACTGAGGAGAATATAAAGGAGGAGGGGAGAGCTCAAACTAAATGGCAGATACTTTCAGATTTGGAAGAAAAATTTCTGAGACAGAGATCAAAGCTTCATTGGTTGAAAGTGGGAGATAGAAATAATAAGTCTTTCCACAACGCTGCCAAGCTAAGGGAAACTAGGAATGCGATCAGGGAAATAAGATGCTCCTCGGGAAGCATTGCTAATACTCAGGATGATATCAAGATTGAAGCTGAGAATTTTTTCAAAGATTTTCTCACGTTGAAACCTACTGATTACGAAGGTATGTCTGTTGAAAGCCTGCAGCAGTTATTACAGTTTCGATGTAATGAAGAGGATAAAGAGAAACTCGTTAAAGATGTGACTGAAGAGGAAATTAGGGATGTGATTTTTAAGATGCCAAGAAATAAGGCACCTGGCCCTGATGGTTACACGGTGGAGTTCTTCAAGGCTGCTTGGAACACGATTGGGAAAGATTTTACTGTGGCTGTTCAATCTTTCTTCCTCAAAGGTTTTCTCCCTAAAGGTATAAATGCTACTATCCTGGCCCTAATTCCGAAAAAAGAGCAAGCTTTGGAGATGAGAGACTACAGACCCATCTCTTGTTGCAATGTCCTCTATAAAGTCATCTCTAAAATCATTGCTAATAGGCTTAAAGGTATGCTTCCTAAATTCATCTCCCCTAGCCAATCTGCTTTCGTTAAGGACAGATTGCTTGTTGAAAATGTGCTTTTAGCTATGGAATTAGTAAAAGACTATCACAAGGATTCTATTTCTTCTCGATGTGCTCTGAAGATCGATATTTCTAAAGCTTTCGATTCTGTCCAATGGTCTTTTCTGCTTAATACCCTGAAAGCTTTGAACTTCCCGGATCAGTTCATCAAATGGATAAATCTTTGTATCTCTACGGCTTCTTTCTCTGTTCAAGTTAATGGTGATTTGGCAGGGTTTTTCCAAAGTGAGCGGGGTCTTAGACAGGGATGCTCTCTTTCTCCCTATCTTTTTGTGATTTGCATTAATGTTTTATCCAGGATGATTGATAAAGCGGCTGAGGATCGTATTATTAGCTATCATCCTAAATGTCAGAATATTAACCTCACCCATTTGAGTTTCGCAGATGATCTAATGGTATTCACTGATGGTACTAGAAGATCTATTGAAGGTGTTCTGCGCATATTTGAGGAGTTCGCGGTTGCCTCGGGTTTAAAAATCAGTCTTGAGAAGTCTACCCTGTTTATTACGGGTATATCTGAAGCTAGCAGATCTGAGATTTTATCTACTTTTCCGTTTGACGCTGGTCAGTTGCCGGTTAGGTACCTTGGCCTTCCACTCATTACCAAAAGGATGACTATTTGTGACTACCTGCCCCTGGTTGATAAGATCAGAAAGAGATTAAAATCCTGGACAGGTAGATTCCTATCGCAGGCAGGTCGGCTTCAGCTACTTAAATCAGTTATTTCTAGCTTGACAAACTTTTGGCTTGCTGCTTTTAGCTTACCTAGTAGCTGTTTGAAAGAAATTGAGAGATTATGCTCTGCTTTTCTCTGGTCCGGTCCTGAACTTAATACTAAAAAGGCTAAGGTGAGATGGTTTGATGTGTGTAAACCTAAAGCTGAAGGTGGACTGGGTATTCTCTGGTTAAAAGATGTCAATCGGGTCACGGTTTTAAAGCTTATTTGGCGGCTCACTTCCAGTCATCAATCTCTTTGGGTTAAGTGGGTTAATGCTTATCTGATCCGGAAAGGTTCTTTTTGGTCTTTGAATGAAAAATCTGTTAATGGTTCCTGGATGTGGAGGAAGCTACTTAAGTATCGGCCTTTAGCAAAGCAGTTCTCTCGAAGTGAAGTGGGTAATGGTAGAGATACTTCTTTCTGGTTTGACTCTTGGTCTAAATTTGGTTATCTGGATAATCAGGTTGATGTAAGTGGATATATCTCTCTTGGGATTGGTCGGAATGAAAGGGTGCAAGATGTTATTCTACACCACAGAAGGAGAAGACATAGAGTTGGTTTCTTAAATGAAATTGAGGAGGTTATTGATGAGTTTAGAAACAGGATTACTGTGTTTGATGATATCAAACTTTGGAAACAAAAAGAGGATAGTTACAGGAATGTTTTCTTCTCAAGCCGTACCTGGAACATTGTTAGAAGTCATTACCCTATTCAAAACTGGTACAAGGGGGTTTGGTTTACTAACTCGACCCTGAACTTCTCTTTTACTACGTGGTTGGCTATACATAATAGGTTGGCTACTGGGGATAGACTCCTCCAATGGAACAGTAATGCTGATGCCACTTGTATCCTCTGTAAATCTGCTCAGGAAAGTAGGCAGCACCTGTTCTTTATCTGCAGATATTCGGCCAAAGTCTGGAGTTTTGTTGCTTCAGGTATTCTTCTAAATGAATTCACTACTAATTGGGATTCTATCATTGAGCTTATTTCTGGATCATCCTGGGACAAAATCAAGATGTTTTTGGTGAGGTATGCTTTCCAAACCACGATCTATAATCTATGGTGGGAAAGAAATCAAAGGAGACATGATGTAAAAGAGAAAGATGAGATTAATTTGGGGAAGCTAATTGATAAGGATGTGAGAAATCGATTGAGTTCACTGCAGGAGCTGGGAATTCGTCACTTGGATGGTAGTCTCTCTACTTGGTTCGGGGCTGCTAGTAGGAGAATGCAACGTTCATAGGTTTGGTGCGGGTTTGGTTCTTCTTTTGGTGTAGGTTTTCCCCTGGCTGTCGTTCTCCGGCAGGTTTTGTTGTTCTTTGGTTTCCTCTAAGGAGTAGTTTTTGGTTTTTGGGGTTTTTTCTTTGGGTTTTGATCTCCTGATTATAGGATTTTTACTCTTTTTCCTTAATAGGGTTTTGTCCCATTTGGGTTTTCTCTATTGAGGTTTTAATGAGGAAAGTCCTATGATCATTCCAAGTTGACTTGTTCCACATGGTTAACTTGAGAGGAGATTATGGGGTTTTTTTGATTTTTTTGTTTTTAGATGCTTAAAATCGTTTGCACTTGTTGTAACCATGACTTTTGTTTGAATAAAATTTTACATTCATTCAAAAAAAAAAAAAAAAAAAAAAAAAAAAAACCACAAAACTTTTAAAATGTTAAAACCGTTATCTCTGGAGGAGATATGGCTGCCATACTAATTAAATTAAGATCGACTTGGTCAAACTTGGAACCTTTCCAGCTTTCATTTCCATTCAACACACCAACGTGTTCCTTTGTACATCATCAGAAACCCTCGTCTTTTAGATTTTACTATTCGTACAGCATATGCAACAGTATCAATGCAATGTGCCATGCATCATTTCAGTGAATGTTATAACTAAAATCAAGTAGGGTGGGGAACAAGCTTTCAAAGAACATATTAAAATCAAAGACAAAGAACATAAATTAAACTTTTAATAATGGCGACAGCTCTGTCATGGAAATTTATAGAATTTTATAGGGAAGCGTAAACTTAAATTTGGCCCAACATAATTTCTGACTACATTAACTATCTTTTTGTTTAAATCAAGTTCGCCAGGGCAATCAAGGGCTCTGTCTAATTTATCACTCACTAAGTACATTAAAATCATTTTACGACACAAATAATAATGTTACACAGAAGTACCTATTTTCTTAAGTTTAAATTGTTAAGAGTAGTTGGCAACAAACGATCTAGTAAGTTGGTTATAATCCATATATA